TGTTGAAGGAAAGGTTGGATGGGGAAGGGGAAGTGAGGATGGGGGTACTGGGGCCTGTTGAAGGAAAGGTTGGATGGGGAAGGGGAAGTGAGGATGGGGGTACTGGGGCTGGAGAGGGGCAGGCAGGGCTGAGGGACTTAATCCTGAGAGCGGTGAAATGCCTGTGATGGGTTTTAGGCTCACATCTGTGTTTCTTAGATGACAGCTGATGTAGAGAACAGATTAGAGATTTCCCAGGAGGCAGGGGTACAGCCATAGAGTGGGAGGGGGTGGTAGCCTGCAGATGGGGCACAGGAGAAAGACGTAGGCCAGCGCTTCTCCCACTGTGATGTGCACATGAATCTCCTAGGGGTCATGTTAAAATGCAGATTCTTATTCTCGGGCCTGGGGAAGGGCCTGAGTGTATATTTCTAACAACCCCTGCCCCCTTCCCCCCCCACCCCCTGCAACCCAGCTCAGGTGCTGCTGATGCTGCTGGTCCATGGGTCACACTTAGAGTAGCAAGAGTTTAGGAGATAGAAAAAATATAATTTAGAGACTGATTGGATGTTGGGGAAAAGAGATGTGGATACTTTTGAGAGAGGGTGTGAGATCATTTAATGGAGAACCACCGGGGTTGGATCAGAAATGTGAGGGTCCAGTTAGGACATGTGGATTTGAGGGGCCTGGGAGTGTCCAGGAGGAGCCCATCAGGGCAGAGAGAATGCTGAGCTGGAGAGATCTGGGTACAACGGCAAACGGAGGGGATGAACTCCCTCAGGAGAGAGAGTATAAGAGGGAGAAGCTGAGGCCCAAGCCCCAGGGATTGTGGGGGCGGATGCATTATCCAGGAAGGAATCTGAGGACATGAGAGCAGGTGGGAGGTGGGCAGGTGGGAGGTGAGAACGTCACATCAACAGAGACGTGTGTTGTGCCTGGATTTTATGTTCTGTGGTGGCTGGGGACGGGAGAGCTGTTTTGGAGCGTAGGGATGAAGGCCCAATTTCAGGGTCAGAGGAGGGGATTGAAGAGACCCTGAGAATAACTGGGCAGTGAAGAGGGGAAGAAGGGTGGGGCACGGGCATCAGGGGAGGGCAGCTCCCCTGGAAGAATTAGTTCAGGAGCAAAGGAGGGCCACTGGGGGGATCCATGGTGGATGGCATGGGGTAGACTGGATGCTATGACCAGGGAACCATGAAGGGAAATGGGAGGGGCAGGAGAATGGGGAAGACCAGAGGGCAGGTCAGGACACAGGAGGCTGTGCTGGGAACATGGGTGCTTGGAATTCAGGTTTCCAAGGGGTTTGTAGCTAGAGCTGTGGGTGCTGGGGCTGCCGAGGCCCCTGGGTGACACACCCCTTCACGCCCCCTCCTCCCTACCAGGTGGGCACCCTTCGAGGCCTTCCCACAGGAACGCAGCTCGCTCAGCCTGGTCAGCCTGGCGGGCACCCTGTATGCCATCGGTGGCTTTGCCACGCTGGAGACTGAGTCTGGAGAGTTGGTCCCCACAGAGCTCAATGACATCTGGAGGTGAGCCTGGGCCCAGGGAAGTCCCCGAGCAAGGCTGATGGCCCCCAGTGGCACCTGGCAAGCTCATCTGGGGATAGGGTGATCCTCTTCCAGGGAGTCCCCTGGGGAAGGGACAGCAGACATGCCCGGCTCAGCCCGGTTCTTTCCCGTTTGACTGGCAAGGTCCCGGTGGGCTCACAGGGGACCACGCCCGACTGTGAAGCCTCAAGCATGCCGCAGCCAGGAGCTGGCCCAGGCTTAGGGCCCAGACCCATGGAAACAGGCCCTGGGAGTAGGGGGGGCCCTGAAGAGGCAGCCAGGCCTTTCCTCCCCACTCTGTCCTGAGTACTCTCGCTGGAGGGGAAAGCTGGGGCCAGGATTGAGAAGAAGCTGGACCCCAACTGCCCAGAACCATCACTTTCCAAGCTGGCCCTTTCTGGGGGTGGAGGGAAGAGGTTTCGGTGCCTGGGGCACCTGCTGAAACTTCCCTTATTCCCACTGCTATGTGGGGACAGGGGGTCTTGGGGGGACATGTAGAGTGCCGAGTACAGAATTCTCCAGAGGAGGTGCTATGGAAATGCAGGCCTTCCTGGAGGAGTGTGACATTCCTTGAGAGGTGACCCTTCTTGGAACGTGGGGTGGCTGTTCTTTGGGGGATGGGCCTTATGGTGGGGAGCCCTTTCCTAGGGCATGAGAATTCTCCAGAACCGGACCTTTCTGGAGATGGGCCTGGGGCTTCAGGGACATCCTCAGCCACCCCTCCCTGCTGGGGCCCACTCTGCACTCAGCTGACCCAGCTCTGTGTCCCTGTCCCCACTCCTCCCTCTCACCCCTAGATATAATGAGGATGAGAAGAAGTGGGAGGGTGTCCTGCGGGAGATAGCCTACGCAGCCGGCGCCACCTTCCTTCCTGTGCGGCTCAACGTGCTGCGCCTGACCAAGATGTGACCAGCCCCGAGGCCTGAGCTGAGCACCCCTCCCACTCTGCGGCCACACGGGCCTGGATTTGGGGGCTCCCAAGAGGAGGCGGGGAGGGGCCAGAGTCCACCTGGATCCCGTCCTGCCACCCGGGGTGCTCTTCAGCAGGGGAGAACTCGCTGCCCAGTCCTAGCCTTGCCGACAGGGCCCAGGAACTTTAGGGCTCTCTGGTCCCCATTTCCCCAGTCTTCTTGTTCCATGAACCAGAGCCACAGGGGGGTGTCCCAAGCTGCATTCTGGGCCCGTCCCAGCCCACCTGTGTGCCAAGGAGGAAGTACCCACAGAACCCCATCTTCTTGCCTGTCAGCTGGGGAGCATCCATCTCCAGCACACTCGGCAGCCTGGAGAGGAATAAAGTGCCTTCTGAGCAAGCAGCTCAGGGTCTAGAATCAGGTCCTCCAGGAGTCCGTGACCAGGTGGTTGAAGATGCCAGGTTGAGCGCCTGGGTTGCCCAGGGCAGTGGCCTCCGCACTCCATGGGTGTATCGCCTCCACATTCTGGTGCCCCTAGAGCCTGACCCCCCCCTCCCTAGGGCTCAGAGACCCCACCTCCTCATACAGCATGGACAAGAAGCCAGGAGATTGCTGGTGGAAGGGACAGGGAATAGCCGAACTGTGGTAGAAAAGTCTTTTATTCTAGTGGTCAGGCCCCCTCCGGCCTGGCCTGGGCCAGACCTGGGAGTAGCTGAGCAGTGCCCATTCCTCTCCCCTCTTACTCCTCCCAGCTACTCCGACTTCTCTTTGTCCTGCATCTGCTCCTCTTCTAGTGCCAGGGTTCGCTCTCGTTCCTTCACCAGCTGGACACCACAGTAGGTGACGAACAGGACAGCCAGAGTAGTCTGGGGGAAGCCTGTGTGGGGAAGAGGTCATCGACGCCTGGGAGCAGGACCCCAGCCTCAGTGACGCTTTCCTTCTCATGCCTCTCCCCACTTGATTGGCCCTCCCTGCTGAGTCCCCGGGGTGTTGGGCTGCAATGGCGGCATTTCAGGAGGTCACAGTCCTCAAGGTGAATGCCTGGCACTTTCTGTGTCCACACCCCTGTCCCTCACCTGTGAGTAGCAGGCGCCTGGCGACCAGCTCTGTGAACTCAAGGCTGTTCAGGCTTACAAGGTTGTACATGATGATGGCCCAGAAGTTCACGGCCCCAAAGAGAGCTCGGACCCTGCGAGACATCTGCTCCGACAGAGAAGCCTGCCCAGTCCAGGAAGGCATCGGCAAGAGGGCCAGGGGAAAGAGGACACGGTGGGTCAAAGACCTTGCCCACATGGCTACCCCAGGTCCTGGGGATGAGCTTGGGTCCCTGAGAGTCCCCAGGGCAGCCCTCCCTCCTTGTTAAAGATGGGAATACTGACCACCCAGCCCGGCCCAGGTGTCCACACTCCACAGAAGGGGGTGCTAGATACCCACAGGGGGAGCCATTGCCCTGAGAGCCAGGAAGTCGTGGTGAGAAAGTTCTGGACTGAGAACTCTTCAGGAACTCCACATGTGGCTGGAAGATCCCAGAGAGCAGCAATGCCACCCCCTCCAGTGACCCAGCCAAACCCTGCCCCCAACATTTCCCACTCACCTCAATTTGTGCTAGAGGCCCCCACTCTGCCAGCTTCTGCGCCCAGAGCTCAAAGTTGAGGCCAAAGCAGTTCAGGAATGACCATAGGTAAACGATATCACAAGGTCCAAGCCACAGAGTAGTGATGGCAAATGTGGCCACAGTGGCCCCCATCTCTGGGATCACCTCGGAGTGCTCCCCACCAATGTGATCATACACGTACCTGCAAGAAAGGCAGGAGAAAGGACCAGCGGGGGGTGTGGGAGAGGGCAGGTAGGAGAAAGGCAAAGAATATACCACAGGGAAGCCCTCCTCAACACTGTCATCCTGGGGAATGTCCCATGTTCCTGATCTCAGATGCCTGGTCCTCCTCTACCCAAGTTCAGAATGTGGAAGGCTCAGCTTTGAACTTCGATGTCTTCTCATCCATTCCCCAAGCAATCTCATCTGACCCAAGACTTTGAACACTGTCTCTAGGCTGATGAGCCCCAAATCTATGTCTTTAGCCCACTTTCTTGACTCACACATCCAGCTGTCACTAGACATCTCATTTGAATGACTGAGTCCGCCATCCCTGTTGAAACCTGCTGCGTCCTCATCTCAGGTAATGACACTTCCCTCTACTCAAGCCTTGGCACCATCTTGGACTGTCAGTTCCCCTCCCCACATCCAAGTCAGCAAGTTCTGTGGGCTCTATGCAGTCCTGATTGCTGCTTACCACCCCCACTACCGCTACTTGTCCAGCAGGTCATCTCCTCTCATAGATTATTGCAAGAGTCTCTTAAGTCATTTCCCTGCCTCTGCCTTTGGCCCCCTACCATCCGTTCTCCCATGGCAGCCAGAGTCAGATCATAGGACTTCCACAATCGAACGTGCCCCCAAGGCTCCCCATTACGATTAGAATAGACCACCTCCTTACTAAGGCTAGAAGATCCCACGATGTCTGGTTTCTGCCTCCTTCCCTGACCTCACACCCACCAGTTAGCCCTCATTCTTGCCTTCCTGTCTCTCAGATACACAGAGCATGTTCCGGCCTCAAGCCTATGCACTTGCTCCTTCTCCCTGAAATTCTCTTCCCTAGATTTCCTTATCACTCAAGTCTCAATTCAAATATCATCCCACAGAGGCTTCCCCAGACCACAAACTATAGAAGCTTCTATCCTGTGGCCAGCTTCTGTCCCATCACACTTGTTTTATTTTTTTTCATAATGCTTACCACTCTCTAAAATTATCTTATTTATATTTTGTTTACCTGTTTATGGGCTGTTTCTCCCCACTAGAGTGTAAGCTCCATGTGTTCAGAGTCTTTGCCATGTTCACTGCTGTATCCCCAGTGCCTAGAACAGTGCCTGGCACATAGTAGGTACTCAATAAATATTTGTTAAATAAATTCAGTAGAAGACCCATTGAGTAACACTTCTCCATGCCTTGACCTGTTCATTTCCAATGGTTTCTTCTCCACACCATATTCCAACTTCGTCACCACTTGAAATTTCATTCTGTCCTAGTTACCATTCTCCACCCACCCCCTCCTGATGTGGCCCCCAGCTCCAGTTCTTCTGGAGAACTGGGATCTCATTGACTCCTCCCTCTCTTCCTCACCTTGAGATCCTATCTTTACCACCCTCTTTAACTGGCTTAAATCCAATGAGTCATCTTTATAAATAACCTAAACCCCTTATCCTTCTCTTCTTCCCACCCAACTGGGAGAGCCCAATCACCCACATTCTCCTCACTTGCACCCAAGAAGCTAAGCCCTGATGAGGAATATCTCATACCTTCACGTGCTAGAGTCCATAAATCCACCACCTCCAACCCCACCCGGGATCTCAGTGCTAAGGCTTCTCTAGTCAGCTTCTTGTGCCATGCTCTGCAGTGGCTAATCCACCTTATCTCTCCCCCAATGATGAGTAGGTGTCGTGGGGGGATCTAGGCAAGAAGAAAGGGGCCACGAAGATGCTGCCTCCCTCCATGCCCAACCCTGCATCTCTCAGCAGCTGACCTTGCCTCCTATTTCATGAAGAAAACTGAAGGCTTCAGGTGGACCCTTACTTCTTGACACTAACCCGCCACCCTGCACCCATGCTGGCTTCTCTTCTTCCTCCCTGTCCTGAAGCCACGCCTGTGCCTAGCACTGGTTCCATCACCTCCTCCCTCCTTGGAGACCTCACTCTGTCAATCACCTCTCTATCCTGCCTCCCAAACTTAGACTTCCTCTTAGCAACCAGGCATGTTACACTATTTGCTGTCTTAAGACACCTCACGTCTCCCTTCAGCAACTCCTCTGTCTCCCCCTCACTAGCTAGCTTCCCCAGCAGCATCTGACCCAGCTGCCCCCACTGTGCCTGGATGGTCTTCCTGGTTTCCAGACTGTCATGTGGTCCCGACTGTTCTGCTCCTCTGACCACAACTTTCAGTCCCTTCTGCCACTCTCCTCTCTCCCCCCAGTGGGAGTCCTTCCAGCTCCAATCCCAGCTGCACCTTCTTTCTTCTTCTTTACTCTCTCTCCTTGGGAACGTATGCACTCCCAAGGACTAAAGACCACCGTCCCACACTCATAAAGCTCAGAGCTACATCGGTCCTCCAGACTTCTCTGAACCCCAGACCCTCAGACCCAGCCACCTCCCTGAACCTCCACAAGGATATGTCCCAGATTCCAACTATTTCTCACACAAAACCCCTTTCTGATGCCGCCCCTCCATCTTCCCAGGCAGAAAGGAATCTAGGGGTCATTTCCTTCTCCTTCTTGATCCCCGCAATCCATTGCCAAGTCCTGTCCAGGGTCCCGGCTGTGTGTCTCGACTCCAACCATTTCTCTCACCTCCAGCGCCCCCATTCATGTCCAAACCCCTTTCACCTAGCCCACTGCCACAACCCCCTCCTTGCTTCCTCTGGCTCAGGGAATGGGCCATCTTTTAAAACATGGACCCATCTCTGCACTGCCGGAGTCACACACCTCGCGGGATGACTGTGACCATTACTCCACCCTCCCCCCCAACCCCAACTCACTTGCAAAGCCAGTCGTTGATGCCACGGTCAAAGTGCCTGTGGGAGGAGAGCAGATGGGCGTGAATCAGCCAGGAGTAGAGCTTGGGGCGGGGGGAATGGGAGAAAGAGGCTACGAGAGGGTGAGGATCCCTGCGGTGTTTCCCGCGGATCTCACACTCACGTTTCAGCGAAGACATAGAGGGCTGTGATGCACTTGGGAGCCTGAGGCGGGTCCAAGTGGTCCAGGCGCGCCACCGTGTTGACCACGCCGAAAAGGACGGCAGCCTTCACCCAGTCGTACACCAGGTTTGAGTAGGCCAAGCCAGCTGGGGACAGGGTGTGGTCACTGCCTGGGGGGAGTCATGTGGGTCTCCGCTCCCAGGATCCCCCAAATTGTGGTGGGAAGGCAGGAAACCGGGCCCTACCCTACAGCCTCTCTCCGCAGGTCAGGTCATAGAGGAGGCCCTGGCAGCCGACCCGCCCCCACGGCGGCCACACCCCCATTTCCTGGGGGAGGAGCTGGTCCGGCCCGCCCCAGGGAGACCCCATTGGGGCAGTGGAAATCAATCTGAGGCCCTTGCGAGGCGGGCTCTGCAGCTATCGCTCTGGCCTCACAGAGCAGAGCTAACTCCAAGTCCCAAGCATTTCAGAGAGTAAATCCCGGCTCCCCCACCCTTGGATCGGTGCTGTGCCCTTTCAGGTGTCAGCTCCCCCAGCAGTGACGCCCTGGGGCGCAGAGGGTCTGTCTGTCTTTCCCAGCCCCGTGTTCTGGCCCAGACGAGCACCCACCGAGGGCGCTGTCCGGGAGGCGGTTGGCAAACTTGAGGTCACTGGGGATGGTGAGGATGTAGAAGAAGTGGAAGAAGATGTCCACGGCCATGATGGCCACGACGCTGAGGCCGGCCTGGGCCCGGATGCGCCACAGCTCGCCCTCGCGCCTCACCGGCTCCACCTGGGTCATCTGGGAGATGCGAAGTGTCTGAGTGGGGAGGCAAGGCCTGCCGGAGGAGGGTCTGAATGGGGGGGTCACCAACTGGGGATCCGTGGGTGAAGGGAGAGGGTGCTTCATCCTGGCAGCCCTCCCTGAGCCTGGAGTCACTTCTCCGGCCTGTGACCTCTGTCTGAGCAGGGAATGCGGCCCCAAGCTGGGGTCTGAGGAGGCTGGGTATTACAGCTTCATCCTGGAGTCATGACTGAAGGTGAGGTCGCAACCTGTCCTGGGAGCCCTAGCTGACATGGGAGCCCCTGACTGGAGAGGGAGACCAAGCCCTGCTCTGGAAGCCCACAGGGTGTCCACTCACCTGGGCGTGGAATCGATCAAAGGTCATGATGGGCCCAAAGAAGAAGAAAGGCAGGTAGAAGTTGTACTTGAGCAGGTCAGCTAGGGAGTAGCGGCGGTCAGGGTGGGCACAGCTCTCCAGCGCGAAGCTGGCACAACGCAGTACCGTAAAACCACTGCCCCCGTGAAACAGCACCTCTTGAAGATCAAAAGTGCCTGTTACCAACCCGCTCTGGATGGGAGAGAACAGGCCGCCAGCTCACCAGTTGCCCCTGTCTCTGGGAAGCCCACCCAGCTTCCCACAGGGGCCCAGCCTCATCCTTCCCCATCCTGTCTTGCAGAGCCAATCAACAACACTAGCCACCAAGGGCTCATTCATGTTAACTGTTTGGATAGCACAGGGAACAAGCAGGACATGTCCCCCCTGTGGTGAAGGGGACCACTCTGTGGGCAGGCATGTGCCCCAGTCAGAGACTTGGAGACAGGTGGGAAGTGAAGGAAATGCTTGGGGAGTCTCGGGAAATGAGGGCTTTGGATGGGGTGAGAAGTTTGGGGTCCTAGTCCTGCACCCTCCACCCTTCCCCTCCCCACTGCACACCTGCCAGGAGATTAGGGGATCCAGCTTGAAGGAGGCAAGGCTGGCTAGGCTGAGGCCAAGACAGAGCCAGGGTTGGCCCAAGAGTGAGGCCAAGTAGAGGCTGACACAGTGGCCAAGCAGTAGCAGCAGGTACCAAGGGCCCATTGTGCCCAGCACAGCCAGGGCCCCATACACGGCATACATCCAGGAACGGAGCTGTGGACAGGAAGAAGGGATGGTTTACCTATCCATACAAATGGAGGTGGGACCCCCAACACTTGTAGCTCAGGGGGAGCTGGCAGGGGAGGCTGGGGTGGCTCAGGTTCAACTCACCTGGGGGGCAACCATCGTGCAGAGTTTAGCAAATAGCACGTGTCCAGAGAGGGCGAAGACGATGACGTTGCGGAAGGAGGTGAACCACATCACCCACTCGAAGTCAGCCACGTCCTGGGGCAGGCCCGGGCAGTTAAGGAGGTGTAGGGGGGCAGGATGGGCTGGTACCTTGGCTGAGCAGAGCCCCAGCACCTCCCCAACCCCCATATTCTTATGCATTAGAGGACAGCCATGGCTGGAGGCCCTCGCCTTCTCCTCTGGGGGAAGTGCCAGCCAGGTAGGTAGAGAGAAATGAAGGGTGGGTTGTGTGAGCTGCCCTGCCCCTCTGTTCGGCATATTGCCTGACATTCCACCATTCATGGCACTGTTCCTGGGAAAGACAGTGCTGGGGGTCCCTGCTGAAGCATGTCTCAATTTATTTCCTAAATGAGCAGTGCCTGGGGGCAGGCTTGACGTGGCCCCAGGAGGACACAGAGTGGACCGGTGGAGAAACAGAAGACTCTGAGGCTCAAGCCAGAGACCCTCCTCACCGTGAGCCCTCTGTTACATGGGAACATCTGGAATGGGGGAGAGTTGGAAAGGGTCTGGGATGTGAGAGACATGCCGGGATCAGGGACCTCTGTCAGGGACCCAGAGGTGTGGGGGACCTACCATCTTCCGGCCAATGTACTCCCAGCCAGGTCGCACAGACTCCCGGAAGGCCTTCCGGTGGGCCCCATCTGAAAACAGAGTGTGGCCTCAGTGGGGGCTGGGGGGACTTCGCGCCCACACCCACACCTGCCCCTACAGCTGGGCTGACCATGACCCTGGGGAGATGGGAATGGGTCTAAGTCTCTCTCTCTCTGCTTCTACTTCTCTCTGGGTCTCCTTGTGTGTCTCGGGCCAGGTCTCTGACTATACCCCCGAGAGTCGGAGTTTCTCTTTCTCTCTCTGTGGCTCTGTGTGCAGATCTCTGTCAGGGCCTCTGCATCTGTCTCTCCCTGTGACTTCACCTAACTCAGCCCAAACCCCTGGGCTTAGGGAATATCCTGGGTCTGGAGCCTTGAAGTTTATAGCCTTGCTGGGTGGAACCCTGAAGCCCGCAGGGGAAGAAGCATCCCACTCCCTGCTCCAGAGCCCGGCTGTTACCTTGTGAAGCTTCAAGGAGGCCCCTACCAGCATAGGCCAGAGCCCCACTCAGCACCAGGGAGTATAAGCCCAGCTCTGCCGCAGGCAACGCTGTCTTGATGCCCATAGCCTGGGTGGCGCTGGGGGAGACAGATTGGGTGAGGGTACTGCTGCCCCTAGCCCTGCCTCGCCCTACCTGATGGTCCCCCATGGAGATGGTGGGGATCCCATATGGGATCTCAAGCTATTATCCTACTTCTCCGGTCCCCCACTCGTCCCAGACACCATAACATCTAGTACCTGTTCCTAGCTGCTGCTCTAGCTCCCGCCCACCCATTTGAAGGCTTTTGAAAGCGTAATCTTCACTCTCAGCCTGCCCGCCTACCTTCATTGACCCTTTCATACCTTTCAGGTGGACTGGTCCCCACCCTTTGCTTGAATGGCTCCTGCCAAGGCCTCAGGTGACCTTCACGTGGGGGGACTCCATCTATGTCACCTCAATCATGTTTCTGGCCCCCAGGACCCCCAACCCCCTCAGTAAACCTCCTTCAGTTTCTGACAATGCCCCCCGCCCCCCACCGCCCATGCCCTCTTCTCAGATTCCCACACCCCTCCAGAGCTGCCTTCACTTCCCTGAGATCTCCTGGCCTCCCAGGTCCTGTCCCCAGTATTGAGCTTTCTTACCTCTCATTCAGCCTCCAGCCTCTCACTGATTCCCACTGCCCCAACCAGCCCCTGAGCCCCAGCCCGCCACTTCCCTGTTCCCTGCCCTGTGTCCGTGGCTATACCAGCCCATTCTCTGTGCTTGTGTCTTCAGGCCCTGGATGCTGGCTAGAGGTGGTGCTATTTGAAGAGGTGCCCTGGGGTAGTGGGGCCAGGCAGGGCCAGACAGGGCCCCAGGGAGGGCGTTGGCCTCTGTCCAAGGTGCTGACCAGTATCAGGCTCACGGTGAGCCTAGCCACACCCTTCTTCCAGGGCCTAGTTCTTCTCCAGGATGGGCCACCCCCTCTTATGCCCCTCCTATGCTCCAGCCTGGACTTGGGCTTTCCCAAGGGTGCCTTGGGTAACAGACCCAGGGCCAAATTAAAGGGAGGAATGTGTCTAAGCACTTTCTTGGGCTGGGCTGGGCTGGGCCAAGAGGTGGCTGGCATGGCCCTGTCTCCCACACCTGATCCTCCTCCCCCAAATTCCCCTTCCCAGCATTGGAACCAGCTCTCCCAGCCCCCCAGAGTCAGCATTCTCCCCACTTCATATACAGAGGGGTCATGGACCAGAGAGGGGCGGGGACCTGTCAAGGTCACACAGCGAGCCTGGGACAGGATTGTGTGTTCCCAGTGAGCCCTTTGGAATCTCAGATAAGAGAAGAGCATTTCCGCCCCTGCCCATACCAGGGGGCTCTCCAGACTGACTTCTGCAGTGCTGGCCTGAGGGTTGAGGCGTCTCCTCATCAGCCAGGTGGGGGGAGGGAGGCCTGGAGGATCGGGTTAATGGAGCAGGAGCTTGAAACCGGAGCACGGTGAAGAGCCCGAGAAATAGCTTTGTCAGCTGCCTCCCACTTGCTACTTTCCAATTTTAGCTCCCCATGGCCGGTGCAGGGTGTCCCCAGTGAGGCCTCCATGAGCAGGACCAAGGCTGGCCCCTGGCTTGCGACCTCTTCCAACAGACCTCCGGACCTGGGCCCGTTGGATACAGTCTTGCCCCCTGCCCCCTGATCTGCCTGCCTCAGGCACACCTGAGGTAAAGACTGTTTTGGGACCTGAAGTCTGGGATGAGGGGCTTAAGGTGGGCTCCACGGGTCTCAAGGACCCCAGAGTAGCTGAATTCCCGGCTGGCACTGACCTTGAGGAGGCTGTGAGGGACCCTGGCACACTGCCCACCTCGGGGCTCCGGGGTCCAGCGTCCAACCGTGCGTCCGTCCGACCAGCTAGGCTCTGGGGCCACAGTGGGGTGTGTCCAGGCCTGGGGTCCCCACCCCTTCAAGGCTATGAGCGGTGAGTGGTGACAGCAGGAGGAGGGCGGAGGAGGGCAGGGAGGAGGTGGCCTTCCTGGAGCGGAGCGGAGCTAAGCAGAGTGGAGCAGAGCAGAGCGCTGCAGAGCTGCTGGCCACAGGGAGCCACAGGGAGGATCGTGGGGGGGGCAGGGGTGGGGGAAGGGGTGGCCAGTGGCATAGGCTCTAACAGGGACACCTGGGCCTCACTTCAGCCTGCCTCTCTTGGTCTGTAGAGCCTATTCCCCCGTCTCCCTGCTGACCAGAACTCCCCTCTTCCGGGAAGTCTTCTGGGAAACCCCCACTGGCCTCTTGTGAGCCCTGCCCCCATTGCATGCACACACATGCACACTGCATGCTCAGCTCCATACTCTAGCCCACATCTTTACATGGGAACTCCCAAGGGCTGTCCCAGGGCAGATCCATCTAGTCCCCTGTCCTGGTTCATTTCACTAATCAAGAATCCTTGCTGCCCAGGTGTTAGTGCCTGGGGGAGGACTGGCTTGACTGTAGAATTAGAACAGGCATGAGAAACGTGGTGGAGGGGTCCCATACCCCAGCCCTGTCCCACAGGCAGTTGTCCAGGTGGCGAGGTGCTAGCAGGGTCACCTGGCAAGGCTTAAATATGTTCTTGGAGTGACTGGCATCTCTTGAATGTCCCTAACCAACCAGAAGCCCTCTGGGAGCAGCAGGGCATGGCCCTCATTCATACAAGGGGCACCCAAGGCCTCAGCCCCTCCTTCCCAATGGGTAAGAGTATCCTAAAGAAACTGCCAAAAGGACAGGAACACCTTTAGGAAGAGGACCCCAGAGTCTAGGGGAGCTGGGTGTACTTGTGCCTTCTCTTTGGGGGCCAATTCAGGCATGTGTGGTGAGCGGGACCTGGGGTCTGGGGGTTTGAAGGAGCTGTGTGACTGTAACAAGTCACAGGACAGGTCCTGGAACTCCTGCTGATCCCTGGACTCCAGCCATGGGCTCAGCAGAGGATGGGGAAAGAAGGTGCTGTGCCCTGCGACCCTCCTCCACCCCCTAATAGGGGAACTTCCAGAGCCTGACCAAGGTCTGAGAAGGGGAGAGTCCCCTACCCTCCCACAATGCCCTTAGTCAATGAGCTTCCTCCCAAGCAGACACATTGGCCCAGAGGAAGAAGCAAGGAGACCTCAGCATCAGAATGACACAAAAGAACGACATGGAGGCCTTCATCACTGATGCCCACCCCCAAGAAGTGTACACCAAGATTACCGCACAGTATAGGGGCTGGGTGAGTGCGGCAGTTGGGATCACGGGCACTCGAGTTGGCCAGCATCAGAGATGAACGCCTCAGCCAGAATGCAGGGGTTAGGGAGGGCTTTCTGGACAGGGGTGGGCGTGGGGGTGAAGCTGAGCAGAGTCCTGAGGTAGAGTCAATGGTTGTTAGAAGGGCAGTAAGTTAATCACAGTAGCTGGACATGGTTCTAAGGCTTTACATGGACTTACTCTTTTTAATATCACCACAACCCCTAGGGAAGGTGTTTCCATTTCCCCCATTTGATAGAAAAGGATACTGATGCACAAGGAATTCAGCCCCGTAAGCTTCTGGGACTGATAACCCTGCAGGGGAAAGAACCCTGCTCATCCACCCTAGGTGCAGGTCGTGACCAGCTTGGGCCAGCCGTCTAGTTGGTACCCCCATGAGACTCAAAGAGAATGGATCAGAGAAGCAGATGGGGGGTTTGGCTCTGCAGTCGAGAGCCAGGTTCAGCCAGCTGACCTGTTCCTGAGTCCCAGATCTGCCTCGCTGGTGGGATCTGCTTCTCAAAGCCTCAGATCTTCATTTGTAAATGGGCCTGCTCTGACCTTATTGGGCTTTTGGGGGGATTCCATGACTCACTCCATGAAGGGCATGGCTCGCTGAATTGCTCATAAAGAAAGCCACAGAGGTCTCACCCCAGAAGCCCAGAGAAGCAGGGCTCACATAGCAGGAGCTGTGCACAGTGGCGTCTGCAGGGAGCCTGGCATTTGGGGATGGCAGGCTGGATAGAGGGCTCTGGAGGCCTCTTAGACCTGGTGCTGGACAGTCCAAGGCCAGCTCCATCCTGTATGAGGGTAGTGGCAAGGAAGGGTGCCTGGCGTGATCAGCCCACAGAACAAGGGGAGGAAGCAGACTGGGCTTAGACCAGCACAAGGGCCTGGGTCAGCTTCTCGAAGGCTGCCAGGGCCCCTGGGAGAGATGTAACGGGCAGGGGTGGGGCAATTCTCTCAGGTCTCAGCATCTCTTTTCATTTCTCGGTGTGTTGTTGCTCGAAGTAAAAATGCATGGAGAGTAGTGGGTATATGCAAGGCTTGGGGACTGCAGGCAGTGCCTGTGGAGAATGGGTGGGGTGACTGTGGGCTTGCTGGCACTGGAGGTGCAGAGGGAGAGGCGAGGCTGGTTCCTGCCACTGCATATGCGGGCTCAGAAGAGGACCCCCACTGTAGGCCATCCTGCCTTGAGCTCCTGAAAGCAGGGAGGGGTCCCATGACAATGGAATATATTTGGAGCTTGAATCAGCCTAAGCCAGGCTGTGACCTTGTCCAGCTCCATTGTGGTGCCCCAGAGGCCTTCGTGGGGATGGTGGCCAAGCCATACCCACAGCTCCACCAGGTCTCACCTGTCAGCGCAGGAACCTGAGCACCCAGGCCTCCCGCACCTGTCTGAGGGGCAGCCAGGGAGAGTCCTCACGTGAGGCCTCTCCCCAGCCCAGCCCCTTTACTTGTCCTTGCCCCTCGGCTCTCCAAGCACCTCTCCTCCTCCTCCTCCTGCCCCGACCTTTGGCTCTGGGCACAGACCTCAGTGTTCTCATCTGTGAAAGGCGAGTCCAGCCCAACTGCTGTCCACCCACTGCCCAGCCACTCGAGGGAAGGGTCCCAGGGACAGGTGGTGCGGCTTGGGAGGAACCATGGGCACCAAGCTGGACAGACCAGGTTGACCCACTCCATGCCTGGCCCACTTGCATCCAGATCCTCAGGGCCCCAGTCCTTGGTCCCTCTGACAACCCCTCCCTGCCTTAGAAAGTTCTGCTCCCTGGCTCTCCTGGGCCTTCCCCTTCCACCCCCAAGCCCCAACCCCTCAGGGAAATACAAACAGCCCCTGCTCCATCCAAATCTGGGTGATGAGCCTGGAAGCCTCAGCACAGGTGGTGAGAGGCTCTGAGGGGCTGCATTCCGTCTCTGCATCCCATAACCTCCTGCTTCCTCATGGCCCTACTTCCTATGCCATCTGACTTGACCAGGAGCTCCCTGAAAACAGCAAATCAGATTGACCTCTGGGCCCCTCACAGGCCTGGAGAGGCTGCTGTGCTGGTGCACTCATTGCCTGATGGCCGGCCAGCTGAGTGGACGGTGGCCGACACCGCCATGCCTGACACATAGAACAGCAGCCCTTTAAAGAGGCTTCTATTCCTGTCTGCATTTTACAGATGAGGACATGGGGGCTTGGGGAGGTTAAGCAACCCGCCCAAGGCCATGAAGCTGATGAATGGGGAAAGAGATGTGCCCCAGGCACCCCCACCTATTCAGACCCTGTGACTTGATGCCCTTTCCTCTCTCAGATGCAGCCTTGAGCCAGGAAGGGCAGCCAAACGACCCTCCAGTGGTTAGGATGTGTGCGATGCCATCCTGGCCCTCCCTGAGGAGATCCCTGCCTCTGCCCATCCCTGAGGAAGGACAGCTGGTCCTCTGCCTGCTTATCACTCCCAGGGACTCCACTGAGGGCCGGAGCATGCACCGCCCACACTCAGATCCCCCTGCGGGGGCTTCCCCACGCCTGCAGGGGAAGGCACGGTCTATTTGGTCTGGTGCCCTAACTCTGCTTTAGGCCACTCCTCACCGTCACACTCTGTCTGTCCCTTCCTGCACAGGGCCTCTCAGTCCTCTGGCTCTGCCTGGCCAGCTCCTTTCACAAGGAATCAGAGAAAAACTCTTCCTTTCCTGGGACCCTTAGAACCCCATCAGCATTGTGGCTTCATCCTGATGGCCTTCATTGTAACTTGCCAGGGACCTCTAGACCTGTGCCACTCCAGATGGGGTTAGGGGTGTCCTGGCTGGGGGGGCCAGCGCACAGTACCTGCACAGCCCACCCCTGAGGAAGGGCCTGAGCAGAGAGTTCCCAGGAGCCCCAGAGGGCTTCTCTCCGGGAGGTCTCTGTATGGCCCGCATGCCTGCACCTGTGAGTCACCATGCAAGTGACTGGTCTTCGTGTGCTGGGGTGTGAGCACGTGCCCATGTGGCAGGCCTGTGAGTTTGGAGCCGGCGTGGTCTGGAGCTGCGTGTATGCACCATGCTGCTGTGTGCTCCTGGGTCTAGGTATTTCTGTGCACCTGCAGCTTTGTGGGGACCTGTGTGTACCCAGGTGTGGTTAAGAGGTCTGGTTGGTCTGTATGGCTGTGGGTGACTTTCCTTAGGGCCACCCTTCCCCAGGGCTGTGAGTGCAGTGAGGCGGGGGGATGACGCTGTGACAGAGGGACATTGGGGGCTCACCCCATGTGGCCATGAAAGAGTAACACTGTGCCTTGGCCTGGACTCACTGCCTCAGAACCTCCCTTCCCGGCCTGAAGCTCCTGCCCAGTGCTCCCTGCCCCTCACCAGCATCCACTAGCTGCAGCCCGTGGGAGCAAATGGAGGGGACCCCTGGAGCAGCTGGCTGGGGGTAAGCGAATTGCTCAACTTGGAAGACCCTGCTTTTGTAGTCAGGCCCCGCCAGGGTTAAATGTTAGCCCAACTCCTTTCTAAAAGCCTCCGTTTCTTCATCAGCAAAAGAGGGTGACAAATCCCTGGGTCACTAGAAGACTAGACGGGGTCAGGTTTCCACAGCAGATGCTCACTCACTGGGGACCTGTGACGATTGTGAAAATAATCATTATTATTACCAGTCCGAAGGTCTGCAGCTGAGGAAGAGCCCTGAAGAGTGGGCTGACAAAGTGGTGGGGAGCACGTGCCCCCAAGTCTTCGAAGGTCGGGGTGGCCGCAGATGGAGCCATGGAGGGGGAGCTGGGAGAGGGTGGGGGTAATGCCCTAGGAAG